CAAGGCTAGCGTTCTACCACTTGAGCCACAGCGCCACTTCCATTTTTTTTCTTTTTGCTTATGTGGTGCTGAGGAATCGAACCCAGGGCCTCAGGCATGCAAGGCAAGCGCTCTACCACTGAGCCACCTTCCCAGCCTAGGATTTGCTCTTTTATAATGCCATCAACCCCACCCAGGAAAGAGGAACCCTTCCCACAGACTTGTACTTCCCCAAGGCCCCACCTCTAATACCCAGCTATAATGGCAATAAAATTTCAACATGAGATTTGAAAGGGACAGATCAGAGCAATGACATTACAGTTGTAAAATTCTAGTACCAATCACTAACTAAATGCTTACTGTATTCTAGGTAGAGCACTGATCACTTTTATGTAAAAATTTATGAGGTTTATATATGCTTATACATTTATTCATATGAAGTGCTTTAAAAAATACTCACTAGTACAGTTAACTGGGGCCAATTAATGCATTCCCCAAAGTAAACTTTAAGGTTCATATTCCACAGACTGAAGCTCAAAGGATATGCTGTGTCATCTCCTAGCATACTCTTGGGGTAAAGGGATATATTTCAGCTATATTTTACACATAAGGAAATTCAGGAAAATGAAGTGACTAAAGCTGAGTTTGGAACTAAATTTCCGAAACAGACTTGATTCCAGATCTGGTATTTTTCTTTGTTTGCTTGTTTTTTTTTGGGTCTGGTTGTGGAGCCTGATCTCTGGGCCTGGGTGCTGTCCCTCAGCTCTTCAGCTCAAGGCTAGCACTCTACCACTTGAGCCACAACGCCACTTCTGGCTTTTTTCTTTTTTCTTATGTGGTGCTGAGGAATCGAACCCAGGGCCTCATGCATGCAAGGCCAGAGCTCTACCACTGAGCCACCTTCCCAGCCCTAGTATTTTTCTTATATCCTGAGGGAACCCTCTGGATGGAAAGTCTAGGCTTGTCTCTAAGCCACACCACTGATCTATAGCATTTTTTTTTTTTTTGCCAGACTTGGGGCTTGAACTCAGGGCCTAGGCACTGTCCCTGAGCTGCTTTTTGCTCAGGGTGAGTGTTCTATCACTTGAGCCACAGTGCTACTTCTGGCTTTTTTGCATAGTTTATTGGAAATAAGAGTCTCATGGACTTTCTTGCCCAGGCTGGCTTTGAATTGCGATCCTCAGATCTCAGCCTCTGAGTAGCTAGAATTATAGATGTGATCCACTGACTCCCAGAGCTTTGTTATTTTGTAAATAGGGGCTTACTTTTTTTTTTTTCCAGGGCATGCATAGACCATAGTCTTCCTAGTTGTATCTTCTGTGTAGCTGGGATAAGGGTGCTTGGGGCTAAGTGATGCAGGTCTCATGAGCTTTGTGCCTCATCTAGCCTCAAACTCCAATCCTCCTAATGTCAGCCTCACTAGTAGCTAGGATTATAGGCATGTGGCACTGTACATTTTACTTTGAGCCTTTTAATAATCCCTCTTCTACTTAAGGTATCCAGAGCTGGTTTCTTGTTTGCAACAAAGGATGCTGACTGAGACAGAACACTGTATTTGTGAAGCACCTCCATAAACATTAGTGTTTCTGGTCTGAAAAACAACTTGATCTTATATGACACAGATGAAGAAACTGCTCTGGAGCCTGATAGCAGTTTTAGTTATTATTTGATAAGCAGTTTGGCTGTGAGCAAACGAGCAATTTGGGAAGTGTCGTGAAGCATAAAACATAACCATTAATCTCTGTAGCTCACCTACTCTCTCCTGGTTCTGAGACTTCTGGCATGATGAACAGTGGGGGCTGCATGGTCCTAGTGGATGGCAGGACCTCATCCCCAGCTCCCTGCCTGTATTTGCCATGCCCATACCCTGTCTCCTTCAGTGGGTCAGGAATAGTATCATTTTGCCTAGATTGGTGTCCGAGGTTAGGGAGGAGGGTTTGTTGGGGGCCAGTGTATGCTGCCTCTCCAGCTCTTCCCTCATCCAGGAAGCATTTGTGGTAGGGAAAGGATTAGGGTGAACCTTGGTGAATGGGCAGCAAACAGGTCCTATTTGAAAGGATGTACTGGCGGAAATGGCCTCTTTGCAGGATCGACCTCTTTGCTTTGCTTTTCCTCCTGGGGCTTGTCCTTTATTGTTATACTGCCAATCACGTTCTCCGTTCTATTCTTCATTCTAGCCCATTCCTGCCGTTAGCCCTTCCTACCACAGTCTTCTCAGAACCCTTTCAGTTTCCTTTTCCCTTTCCTGGATGTTTGTGACTTGTAATACATCCTTTGCAGTGCCGGTCCCTCCTCTCATATCCTTTGCCACTGTTTAACCATGCTTTTCCTAGTTTTCCATCTCCGTAAGTACACATTTCACTATTCTGAAAACTTCACATGGGTAGAACTGAAGTCTGGTGTTTTTCAAGTGCCTACGTAGACAACAAGCACAGGTTTCACTTGGCACATATGACATAGACTCAAGAGAATATCCATTAGAAGAAATAATGGCTATGAGTGAGTTAATTCGAAGCCTCCCCCTCCATGTCTGGCAGGCAGGTACTAGCTCCTGTTCTCCTTTGAAAGGCTCTTTTGCAGTGGGTGAGATAATGGAATGGTGTCTCCAGATGTGGGATTGCTCAGGAGATATTTCTTGAAATTTGATTGCACAGCCACCAGCTCAATCCACTTAGCAAGCAGCAATGTGCAGATTCTTCCCTGTCTGAATTCTTCCCAAGGGAACCAGGATTTCTTAACTGGGGTGAGGAGGTGGGAGAGTTACGGAGTGTGTTGATTCATTTTGGAAATAGAAGGGGGGCAGTTTTTATTAAAATTTAAGACAATTTATTGGCATTTAGAGGATGGGAAGGAGGGATGCCAACCTCCTGGGCTATGTAGATAGTGCCTTACCACAGGGATTCAGTCTTGAGTTCTACCCCTTATTCAAGTACACAGATTACTTCTTGGTAAAATAAGCTCAGTTTAGCTCTACTCATTGCAAAATTAAACATTTCTTTGTTTTTTCAAGATACTAAATTGCCTTAAGAATGGCTGTATTGGTGAAAATCAAGAGGAGATTATACTTTATTTTGTTTAGAATTTTGCTTCTGATTATTCACCATGGTAGAAATGGGGTCACAAAAGTAGGGTTGGGGGCATTGCTCAAGTGGTAGATTGCCTGTTCGGCAAGCTTCAGACCTTGAATTCAAACTTCAGGGCTGGGTATATGGATGGCTCAGTGGTAGAGTGCTTGCCTTGCATGCATGAGGCCCTGAGTTCAATTCCTCAGCACCACATAAGCAAAAAGAAAAAAGCAGGAAATGGTGCTGTGGCTCAAGTGGTAGAGTGCTAGCCTTGAGCTGAAGAGCTGAGGGACAGCGCCCAGGCCCAGAGTACAGGCCCCACGACCAGCCCCCCCCCCCAAAAAAAAAAAAAAAAAGAAAAAGCTGGAAGTGGTGTTGTGGCTTAAGTGGTAGAGTGCTAGCCTTGAGCAAAAGAAGCTCAGGGACAATGCTCAGGCCCTGGGTTCAAGCCCACAAAACAAAAAAACCCACCAAAAAACCTCACTACCACAAAACCCAAAACAGAAACAATGCTGTAAATGCAATGAAAATAAAAAATCTTTAATGAACATTTATAACTATGGTGTTTGTGGTGATTTTTACCAATAGATGCATTTAGGAAGTAGAGTTGTAGTTCAAGTGGTAGAACACTAGCCTTGAGCAAAAAGCTCAGAGACAGTGCCCAGGCTCTGAATTCAAGCCCCAGGACCAACACACACACACACACACACACACACACACACCAACCATAGATGTGTTTAGTATAGAAACTAGAGTTGTAGTTCAAGTGGTAGAGCACTAGCCTTGAGCAAAAAGCTCAGAGACAGTGCCCAGGCTCTGAATTCAAGCCCCAGGACCAACACACACACACACACACACACACACACACACACACACCAACCATAGATGTGTTTAGTATAGAAACTATTGCTTGAAACAAAAACCTCAAAAATTGTTAAAAATGCACAAAACCAAAATAAGTACAAAAACAAATAATTTATTTTTAAAAGTATTTTTTTGAGAGCTGAGCACTTATATTTCTAAAGTTATGAAAACTTGAAAGCTCAGCAAGCTGGCTCAGCTCACACCTGTATTCATGAGGCTGAGATCTGGGGATGGTGGTTCAAAGCCAGCTTGGGCAGGAAACTCCATCAGAAAAACTGAAAACGGAGCTGCGGCTCAAGTGGTAGAACACTAACCTGAAGCAAAAAAGCTCAGGGACAACCCCTGGGTCCCGAGTTCAAGGCCCAGGACTGGCACATACACACAAATAGTGCAGCAAGACCTTGGGGACAGTTTGTGTTTATTTAGAAAAGCCTCCTGATCTGTTCTGTGCAGTCTAGTTCTCCTACTTTTGTCCTCAGTAGGAAAGAAACAGCACATTGAAGATCATGAAGTAATTGGGGCAGAACACGGGGTGGTGGCCAGGGACTGATTGAAAGCCAGCTGGCCCCGGCCTGCAGTCACAGAAAGGAAGACCCTATGCTTTTCAGAGCCTGGTCTACAAACTGAGCTCAGCAGAAGCTGCAAGGCTGTGGTGGGAATGAGGTGAGAGACACGGGATGCATTGGAGCACCCAGTGCAAACCGCCCGGGCCTCTCTCCAAGTGCCCGCCTTGCGCCTTCCCTTTGCCAGTTGGAATTGTGCAATGCACCCAGGGGCGGGAGCATCAGGTGCCCCAGTGCCCTTGGCTCTGTGTGTGTGTGTGTGTGTGTGTGTGTGTGTGAGTGTGAATGAGTCTGTACTGCCAGTCACCCCGCAGGCAGCTCCTGGGAGAGGGGGGCACTGGAACAATGGGGGTGGCTCTGTCCCCAGTGCAAGCTAATGACAGGGTTGCGGGGTTGCACTAGGCCAGGGTAGCAGGGAGACCTTTCTGGACTTTTCCTTTCCGGGCATGGAGAGCCTTGTTCTCCCCGCCTCGCCTGGAGCCTCCTCCTCCTCCAGGGCTGGGCAGCTGGGCGGCAGGGCGGGGCTCCAGCCGAGCCCTGATCCCCAGCAGGAAGCAACAGCTTTTGCTGCCAACGCTGTGGCCAGGAGGCTTCTTCGCACACCCTTTGGTAAGAAGGCTTCGGATGGTAGTTGGCCTCTGATCTCTATCTCTGGTGGACCCCTGCCAGGACAGGGGGACTTGGGTGGGGACAGAGATCATCCCTCTGTCCCACACCCTCAACTTATTCTTTCCTTCCAGACACCTCCTAGATGCAGATTTTGCCGTGCTCTTCTGAAACTCAGCTCCTGGGGACCTTTGCTTCTTTCTGGGAGCGTCAGAGCCTGGTCTTGGGGGTGGAGCTGTGGGTAGGCCGACCTGCCAGGGAAGGTGAAAGAAAACCTGAGGTCTTTAGGAAGGACTCGTCTCTGCGTGGGAATTTCCCATGCCTTTCACTTGTTGACTGTGTAGCTCCATGTGTGTGGTCGCCCTAGAGCAGGAGTGGGTATTCAGCTTGGGGGATGGGCCGGATCTGGTTGGAGATCCCTCCATCTGCCCACAGAGATGACACTTTCACACCAGCTAGGCATAATGCAGGGTCAGTTGGGACCTGAACCCTGGGGCTGGCAGAGGAGAGCATTTAGGGCCACAGGCTGATTAGGAATTGGTAGGAAGCAGCCGAAAGACTGCTCAAAAGGAGCCAGGTTGTAAGTAAGCATAGCTCTGGATTTGCCTGGGTTGCCCCATTATACTGCTGTACTGCAGGGTTTGGAATCATTTTTGTTCTCAGGTACCCCTTTGGCAGTTTTGGGACCCTTTCTCTAAAGGCATGAAAGAAAAGGCAGAGTATTTAAAAAAACAGTTATGATGACATGTAGAAATATTAAAATAAACTGGGGCGTGGCTCTCATCTGTAATCCTAGCTACTCAGGAGGCTGAGATCTGGTGGACTGCTGTTAGAATTCAGCCAGGGCAGAAAAATCCCTATCAGTTAGATATAGTGAAAATAAAGATGTAAACACATTTTTTTTTCTCCATCTAGATTCCTGGGCCCCAAATTAAGATCCCTTGATAACAGAAAGGGCATGGCCTAGGAAATTGGGTACCTTGTTTTGGGGCTTAATAGTTCCACGGAAAGCCTGGTGGCTTTGGGTTTGAATCTCTTATCTGATTCTTCATTGTAAAGTAGGAAAAAAAAACCCCAAAACACCAGTAGTCAGTACCTTCCTATATATTTTAAGGCATTCAGCACTGCACCAAGTATAGAGGGGTTAAATGAGTTCTATCTTTTCGAACTTGTCTGTCTCCTCCTTCTCTAGGCAATAGCCATTATTCAATCCTGGTATATGGGAGCTATTCAATCAATTTTTATTGACCAAATAAGTGAATTGGTGAAGGTTGCTTGTGACTATGTTTAAAACCAAAATTAATCAAGGAGACAGCTGGTGGTTTGGGAATGGCTGTTTAAATTTTGAGCTTTTTTTCCTCTCTCTTAAATCTGGCTGAATAAACACATAAACACCTGGAATTGGAGTACTTGAAATGTCAGTGAGGACCCATGAGTCTGTGTGTCAGTCTGTATGACTGGTGCTCTGCCAGAGAAAAATAAAATTGAATGTTGAAGGGAAAAACAGGAATCCTTGGCCGAAGTTTCTTCTCCATCCTGCTTGTGTTAAGGCTTGTTCATCTGCTGTGTTGTAACACAGGAAATGTCTTATAAGGAAAGAAGACAGACTCACGATGAGGCATTTCTGGATCTAAATGAACATTTATCTTCCCTCTTTTATCTTTTCCCAACCCCTTATTCAACACAAAATTCCTTTCGGACTCTGGAGACTTGGTAAATGGGACTTGTGTATGTAGTGTGTTAAAAGTTGCCCAGATTAGGCCTGAAGCCAGTGAAGCCTTGTTTATAGATTGAGAGCTCCCCAAGAGAGTGGGGTTATGGCTTTATTTTAAATTTTTTATTAGTTTTTATTATTTTATTATTTAAGTAGTTATACAAAGAGGTTTCAACTCAACATGTCTATGAGCACAAAGTGGTTTTGTATCGAGAGTCTGTGTAGGATGCTTGAGATGAGATGTGAGGTAGCACATTTTCTCTGGCTAACTTTGGTTGCTAATCATGAGACTCATGGTCCCAGGTGATCAAATCTAATCTATGATTTTGAATCATAGAACAAGAGGGCATTTCTTTGTATCAGTCATGGGGCCTGAACTCTAGGCCTGGGTACTGTCCCTTAGCTCTTCAGCTCAAGGCTAGTGTTCTACCACTGTAGCCACAGCGTCACTTCTGGCTTTTTCTGCTTATGTGGTGCTGAGAAATTGAACCCTGGGCCTCAGGCATACCACTGAGCCACCTTCCCAACCCAAGAGGGCATTTAAACTGAAGTAGATATATCTGTTAATTTTATTCTCAGGGAAATGAACTCAGTGTAGTTAAGTGGTTTGCTCATGGTCCTACCACTTTGGTTTTCTTTTTTTTTGTGGTCGTAGGGCTTGAACTCTGGGCCTGGGCACTGTCCCTTAGCTCTTCAGCTCAAGGTGAGCATTCTACCACTTCCAGTTTTCGGGTGGTTAATTGGAGATAAGAATCTCATGGACTTTACTGCCTGGGTTACCTTTGGACCATGATCCTCAGATCTTAGCCTCCTGAGTAGCTAAAATTACACAGGCATGAGCCACCAGCGCCTGGCTCCTGATTTTCTTACAAAGTGGGGATAATGTTTTCCACTTCTCTAGTTATCACCAGAAACTATACAAAGTGCATATCACTATGTCTGGCACATTGCATGCCTTCCACAAATGATTTATCTTCCTGATCCTTTTATTATCCCTTGCATCTTGCACTGACCTGTAGTAGCTATGCAGTGGATGAATCATAGTAGATTATGGTGCAATTACAGGACTTGGTGGAAAGATTCCTTCCCTTCTGACTATGTTGCGAACTCTGGCCAATATTAAAATTTTACAGCTGTTATGAACTCGAGGAGTTAGAACATATCTCAGTGTGAATACCTATTTGTGAATTTCCCTGTCACTTTTTTCCCTTCTCATTAGAGTTTTAGAGAAGGAAATAACCTTTGAAACTACCCAGGCTAGTCCTTTTTATGAAGAAAGCATGGTCCAGAATGGCTAAGGATGAGCTCTTCCTGGTATTACCTGGAATATGGTCCAAGGTCTCTTGACAGTTGACATACCCTTAGACAAAACTTCACCAGGAATGGGTAGCTGTGTGGTCTGGTTGGCCATAGGAAAGACATGAGCTGTTAGGGAACCTGATACACCTATTACCTTTTATACATCTCATTCTGTCGTATTAAAAGATTGACTGTAGCGTCTCTCTAATCATCTTCAAGCATCATGTGTAATTTGTAATTAAAGAGTCTTTTTTTCTCATTAGGACCTCACACACTGGATTCCAGGAAATGATATTATTGAGTAATGGCCAGTCTCTTGTTTACAAAGACACTACCCTTTCAGAGCCTCCTAGACAAGGAGATTCTGGGCAGAGATCCCAATGCATCCCAGCTGATGAGTAATTTTATTGTCATAATGCAGATTTAATAAGTCAAGTTGCAAGTTGACCCTTGTGTGACTGGTAGCCAATGACTTCCATCCAAGCCTCCCTCTCCAGTGAGTCTGAGGATAGCTGCGTCTAGGTGTTTATAGTAGACCTTGAAAGGAAACCTGTAGTACCTGACTAGAGGCCAACTCTGCATGCATGATGGGTTGGAAGTGAAGATAGGTTGTGTTTGGCTTTGTTATTCATGTAGTATAACTTGAAAAGCCAAACTCCTATAGCAAAAAGGAAACAAGGCCTGTTTGTCTCTATATCACTTGGTTAAAACAATCAACTTTCAGTGATAATCCAGTTTGCTGATTAAATATTTTCTTTTTTTTAGAGCTTGGATGCAAGACTTCTCCTTATGTGAATATAATTTTTCTTTTCTGCCTAGCAGTTGGATTGATTTCGTGAGATTGGCAGTCTTCCCTTTACAATGTTTCCTCTGATAGTACCATAACTATAAGCTAGGGACACTTGTAGAGAATTTCTCAGGAGAAAAGGAAGTTCATGTTTCCTTTTATAGTTCTCTTTAATAATCCCCCCCCACCCGCTTCGTCCATACTGGGGTTTGAACTCAGTGCCTCAAGCTTGCTTACTTACCTATTGCTCTACCACTCTCATGGCTTGCCTCAAGTCATCATCCTCTGGATCTCAGCCTCTAGAGTAGCTATGATTACATATGTGAACCCTTATTAATACAGTTGACCCTTTCAAGAATTAGCGAACAAAGACTTCAATATGGCTCCAAGCTTTGAATCAACAAGAGAGCTGTGCACACTGCCTATTTCTTGGATGACTTAGTCCTGGTCTACTCCAGGAGCACTTGCTTTTCAGCTTAATATTTAAGCGAATGTTTGGATTGGTAATAGTTCTCAAGGGAGTGTTCCATCATGGCCTGCAAGGCTAAGTGAAGATTGCTTCATTTTCTTTGTTTGTTAGCAATATAGTAATTCAACTCTTGGCCAATGGGCAGGAAAGGGTGCTGTCATTACTCAAGAGGAAGGGTGCAACCCGTATAGTCCCTTTGCTTTCTTTGTCTTACCACACTTTGTACCTTCATTTCACTTTGAGTAATCCCATATAGTTACTTACATCCTATCTTCATTGTATTTACCTGGACGAGTGAATATAATGTGGTAGTTTATATCCTTCCTTCCTTCTTTATCCCCCCCATAGCTCAGGACACAAAAACTCCTTCGTTGTCCCACATTCACCTTCACTTCTATTCCCACTGCCTGCACCCAGCTCTTGTGATGCCTGCAGTTCTGAAACAGCCCCTTCTCAGATCTTCATACTCCTGTTAAGTTGCTCTGATTGATCTGTCTCCCTGGTGCCTATCACAATGCCTGGTGTTCAGTAAACGCCGACTTCCTGCAGGAGAACCCATGTAGAAGCCAGGAGACCGGGGCGGGTCCTCAACCCTTTATTCATCAGCTTTCACTAAGATTCCTCATTCCACCTTGATACATGGCTTCATGTTCATTGTTTTTCATAATTATTCACCAACCCCTTTCCTTACCCTTCTCCTCCATAGTTAGAATCATGTTCTATGTGTATATACA